AATTTTTTGTCTTTTTAATCAACTGTATTGTAATGAAATCTATAACCATGCCACTTTAAATTATATAGACAGTTATTATTTTACTCAAATGCATTTGAAGATATGTTACATCTTCAGAAAAATCCATGGAAACAAGTCTGACATACTCTAAGCTACAGGTTTCTAAGCAGTTCATGTCTTTGAACTGGATGAAGGTTTATGGAACTCTAAGGAATAACTGAATTCATGAAAATACTGGCAAATAAGATAAACACACACAAAAATGATAATGGGACTAAATAAACTGAGGATAATTATTCTTATGAATCTCTTTTAAAATACTGCTGACTTATAAATATTGTTGTTCTCCAAATATAAGAAAAACTAAAAGGAAACATTCTGCATTATTATCAATGACTTATTAACAAGGTTATAGGGACTGTTAAATTAGTATCATTTACTTCACAGTGTACTACAACAAAGACTTCAAAGACCACAACTCACAAAACCATAATTTTGTCTATTGGGCAAGATACTAATTAAAGACTCTCTCTAAAAATGTGGGAAAGGAGCTTACTTTATCAGGTTCATAGTTACACATGGACATTTCCCCTGTCTCTGACACTCCCCTCCATCTACATTAGAAATCAAAGTGTGTTTTAAGAATGAAGGAGCCACGCCCTGGCCAGTTTGGCTCAGCGGTTAAAGCGTCGGCCTGCGGTCTGGAGAGACCCGGGTTCGGTTCCCGCTAAGGGCACGTACTTCGGTTGCAGTTTGTCCCCGGCCCTGGTTGGTCGTGTGGGTGGCAGCCACTCGATGTGTCCCTTCACGTCGATGTTTCTCTCTCTCTCTCCCTTCCTCTCTCTCCCTCCCACTCTATCTGTACAAAAAATGGAAAAATATCCTCGGGTGAGGATAAAAAAAAAGAATGAAGGAGCCATTGACCACAGAGGCAGACAGCTATCTCAAGACATCAACAAGGCCCATATGCTCACAGATTAATGTTGCTCAAATCTTGTTCTTATATCACCTAATTGTTTCTGATTGTACATAAAATGATTTTTTATATTGTTAGTATACTTCTGTGATTTCCTAGTGGAAAAATTATCAGTCTCTTTACTCCTCCCTTATTAAATCCTAATCTGTGATACTGGTTTAATACTGTTACTTTTATTCCTTGTATGTAAATGTTATGCTACATGCAGAAGAAAACAAAACAAAGACAAGCAGCAAAAAGAGTAGGTCACAGTAGGTTAAAAACTAGAAATGATCCAGAATATTTTTTAACAAAGACATATATAGGATCTGATTGCCTCCCATTCACCTGCTTTTATTTTAAATAATAATAATTCAGCCTTAATGCCATCTACTGTTATGGTCTTGCCCCATCATATTCTGTTTAGGAAGACAAATGCTAACACTGAGACTTTCTAGGAATTAGCCTTCACAGTACCATGGGACCCCCATCAGTGCATCCTTTGGATTAATTTATAAACAAAAATGGATGTGTGGACAAAAAGAGGCCATATGCTAAACTGATAAGCTAAGGGAATGCCTACATGGTAGCCTTGTAAACTCAGGGACCTAAAATAACTGCAAAGGATGATCTTAAATTAAAATTTTTTCTTTAAATCCTCCTCTGAGGTTTTTTTTTTTTTTTCATTTATCTCCAGAATGGAAGAGACGGGGGGAGGGAGGGAGGGAGAGAGAGAGAGAGAGAGAGAGAGAGAGAGACATTGATGTGTGAGAGAGAGATTGATTGGCTGTCTCCTGCATGACCCTGACCAGGACTAGGGATCAAACAACAACTGAGGTTTATGCCCTTCACTGGAATTAAACCATGACTTTTTGGTCAATGGGTCAACACTCTACCACTGAGCAGGGCTGAAATTAAAACATTTTAACTAAAAGTAGTTTATGGCAGGTAGTCATGTCCTAGGCTGGCATCTTTCATGGCAAAGGTCAATCTTTAACTGAGACTATTTATTGCATCTACAGTAACATATCTTTGGAATGTCAAAGTAATTTTTTTTATTACTAGACCCTCTTGAAGCACAGGCCCTTTCAGAAGAGCTGCCTGGGGCTTCAACCATGTCAGCATCTCTGAGCCTCATTTCCTGATGGTTTTTCCAGCCAGAAGTTATGGAGGCTTCTCTTCGTGGCACTGAAACCTTGCGCAGGTCGTCTGGTGTGGGACAGAGGCCTCTCAGTCCTCAGGGAGGACCTTCCCAGCCAAGGTATCTTCCTGATTTTTATCCACCACAGGTGGGTGTGGGACCAGCCTGCTGTGCCTCCGCCCCTCCTACCAGTCTTGATGTGGCTGCTGCTTTAATTCCGTAGTTGCAGGACTTCCATTCAGCTTGATTTCAAGTGGTTTTGAATGATGATTGTTCTGTAGTTTAGTTGTAACTTTAATGTGTTAAGATCCTTTTAGAGATATTTTTAAAAAATTATTGTATCATTTAAGAAGCTTGGTATATCAATTAAAATGCATTCCATTGTTCCAGAGAGTTCTAGAATTCTATCTTTAAGGGAATGCCTTTGAAGTGGACTTAAAACAAAGTTCTTTCTTAATGGTTATTAGACTTATTAAACTTATTTTGACTTAACTGGCCCATTTTATTTAAATGGTACAAGAAAAGGGACCAATATGTTTGCATAGTACATAACTAGGCAGAGTTCCCAAAAAAGGAGTGTTTTAGGGACTGTTTAGAGTGTCCCATGTTAAGACAAATTATCCTGAAAGCTAGAGAGCGAGAGCGAGAGAGAGAGAGAGAGAGAGAGATATGTTAAGACTATCTTTGAATAATTTAACTTCTTGAATAATTTAAATACCTATTGAAAAATGCTTCCCCTTCAGCTCATTTAAGAGTTCTAAGATTTTATGATTTTACATGAAACACATAATTTCAGAATTTTGAAAGATCCTTCAGAATGGCCACTGTAACTCCAAATTGTCCTTCAAGTGATAAGTACATTACCCAACTAGTTGACAGAGAATGGAATAGAAATCCAGCTACCTATTGAAGTTGTCCCTCTGTAACAGACTTAGAAAATACGCACCCCATTAAAAAAACAACAACAGTATAAGAGAACCCAAGAATAAAAGCTCTGAACCTTAAAGAAGGGTGGAGTTCTGGAACTCTGAGGACACACCACTGGAACCCTGGAGCCATCAGGGAGAACACAGAGTACAGAAAGCTCAAATGATAGATTGCTTTAATTAACTGGGACATCTAATTGAATCATTGCATTTTTGGAGCCAATGATTAGATACTATGTATTGATACAACTGTAATAGCCTGATTATTAATTAACATGGAGAGAGAAAAGGAAAAGCACATATGGAAATGCTCAGTAGAGTCTGGGTGATGTAGGGAATGTACTTGCCTGTCAGTCACACCTGGGAACAGGTGGTTGGCTGGAGTAGGTAAAGCCACTGCAAGCATTGGAAGAATTGAGATACATAAGCTCCTGAACAAAAAAGTTCCTTATTTTGGTTTGTTTTTGCTTACTAGTGCTTGGCTCCTGGCTTGTCGGACTCATGCTCCCCTGCATTTGCCCACATGGTTCACAGCTATGTGGATCCCACATAATGGACTGAGAGAATATAACTAGCTGAATGCTTTACTTGACCCAGTGCCACTATAGAAAAGAAATGTTGGACTCTATGTTTCTAGCTCTGTTGAATCCCCAGCTGCATTTCTTCAGACTGGATTAAGAGAAATGGGACTTTGTAAACCCAGGGATATAATTGCACAGAAATAAAAATCAGTCATCCTCCCATGAAAGTCTCAGAAAAAATTTTTTTCTCAAGATAATGTAAAGACACATGTCTGAGCACCCAGTGTAGTAGAGGATCCCCCAGTTCCACTAGTACTTCACTTCTGCTGATAACAATATTATCAACAAACTCCAAAGATGTCTGGAGATGATAAAGATTTAGTCTAGGGTCTCAGGGTTTGCGACTGGAAATACAAGTAGGCAATTCCGAGAGTGTTCCTAAGAAGAATGAAAAGCTAAGAATTCTTATAACAGAAATTACATTTTTCAGACTAGTAAATCTTGCATTATTAGCCTATGGATTAGTTTGAGACGGTAATCTGCTAGATGACTGGTGGCCTGAATAATATATATATATGTATATGTATACATATATATTTATAAATGTATATTATATATTATATATGAATAATAATATATATATCTGATGTTGTGGATAATGATTGTCAGGTGATTTTGGAACCTTATTTCAGGATGTAATGTAAGGGTTAGCTGGAGGTTTGATGAATACACAGGCATTGATCCATAGTTGGAAAGTTCAATAGTTTAAGTTACTAAGATATTTACAATTAAAATAGAAAAGTCAATATACTTTATTTTAGTAATGTAATAGCTTGATTATAGTGAGTCTATTTTATCTCTTCACCCTATTTTTCATGTGGTAACTATATCATAGTATGCAAATGTATCAAATTAATATTTTATACCTTAAATTTATACAAGTGGTATTACTTATACAATACTAGAATTATATTTTCACTTTGGAAAAAAAAGAAATCAAAGAAGAAAAAGCAGTAAGAAACACCTTACACATTGGGAGTCTTGCCGTTGCCCAGTATTGCCAGTAGTTGATCATGAGAAATGCCCCGATTAATTTTAGGTAAAAAGCTATACTTAATGAGTGATCAACTTAACATACTAGACAGAACTGTTACAAAGCAGATGTGTGGATTCAGTCACCAATGGTATTCAACCCCTTTGCAACTAGGACGTCAAGGCTTCATGTACTCCGTCGTTCACTGTGTTCTTCTTTTTTTTTTTTTCAGCTCAGCATTTTGAAAGCACTTGACCCCATTTCCACGTTGCAGACTTTTGCCCTAACAGATGTTAGTCCGATACAACCATGCCCTAGATGGGGCGAGATTTGCCGGAAAAGGAAGTAAGGAATGATAGGGGCGGGGCCCAGGTGAAGGCACGCAAAAACGACGTCATTGGCTGCGACACCATTTCCTTCCGCATCACCGTACAGCTCAGTTTCAACGGTGTTCTTGGACACGACATCTGCTATTGTTTCGTCAGGTGGGCGTCTTAAAGGAGTCGCTGTTTCGCCGGCATCACCGGATAAAAGTCGGAAACGCCAGGAAGCGGCCGGCACCATCATGCCTAAGAATAAAGGTAATTCCCTGGCACCACGATCTGTTCAGTCCAGTGCCCACAGGCCTGATTCGGGACCAAACGCATTTACCACTCATTTTTTTTTTTTTACGGTGGCTGGGAGATCCGGCCGTTCCAGTCTTGGGATAAAAGCTGGAGAGATACCAATGTGTTCCAGTTTGCTCACATTGGGGTGCAGCCGACGACATTTTTGTATTACTTCCTGCCGCGAGTCAGGGACACGTGGTGGTACTTGAGCATTAATACTTTCCCAAGACTGTTAATCAATTTTTAGCCTTCAAGGCTAATTCATACTCCTTTTGTTTTTTGTTTTTTATAAGCAGTTAATTATTGTTGTACGTATAATCCATTTTATTTTTTAACAGTACTTTAATTTTTGATACATAGGATAATCTATGGAAGTTTGCTTTCCTCCAGACCTTAACAGATTTTTAACATTCTCTTCTAAAACATGTGTTACACATTTACCAGAGTTTTCAGTCTTCCTGTCCAGTACACGAAACATTGTGGCATAAAGATTTCTACCCGCTCTTATTTTAAAGCAAACTTTGCAGGAAGACTCATACTTCACAACAAAGTTTATTTGGAACTTGTAAACTTGGACACCTCACTTAGATAAAGGAGAACACTTGCCACACACATTTCTGAAAGATATTCTGCTTGTTTTTATAGACCAGAGATGTTCCAATTTTTTATTTTTTTAAAATTACTTTTATTAATTTAGTTTTGTTACAGATATAATAGAGTAACTAATATAATTATAATAATATATTAATGTAATATAGATATAATAATAAGTTGGCCCTGCCCTTGTGGCTCAGTAGATTGAGCACCTGATAGGTATGTAATTATTTTTATTAATTTATTTCTGTTACATATGTTTCTCCTTTTTACCCCATGCACACCTTCCTCCCAATCCCCTGCCTCCCCCATCCCCAGCTTTATTGTCTATGTCCATTGGTTATGCAGACATGCATGTAAATTCTGCTGTTTATCTCTTCCTCCACAAAGCCCCTCCCTGAGGGTTGTCAGTCTGTAACTTACCTCTATGTCTCTGGATCTATTTTGTTCATCATTTTGTTTAGTTCATTATATTCCACAAATAAGTGAGATCATGTGATATGATCTCTGCTTGGCTTGTTTTGCTTAGGATAACACTCTCCAGGTTTCTCCAGGTGGTCTCAAAGGATAAGATATCTTTCTTACAGTTGCATAGATGTTCCATTATTTTAAATGCCCTCATAATATCTATTTCAAAAAAAGAAAAAGAAAAAAAACATCAACAGCAAATATATACATCAAAAACTTTATAAAAAATTAAATCAGTTTACAACCATTTTATTACAGCCTTCAAGAAATCTGTGATAATTCATTCCTAGGACCTAACCTTACTTATGTTCACCTTTCTGCTTCACAGCTGGCATGAAAATCTACTTCATTTCCTCTTTCTAGCACTCACCACTTACTCCTTGCAGTTCTGTACCACCCCATTCAGTGCATTGTTGTCTCCATCTCCCAAACAAATAGTTTTACTGCTGATTTCTAAGAGACACTGAGAGTGTCTTTCTAGGTACGTATATGTTAGAAAAGGGTTATAGCTTTCTGCTAACCTGTAAAATTGTACATTAGCTCACAGGTAATAACTAGATCACTTTAAAAGGTATCTTATTCTCACTTTTAGTTCTACTGATGAAATTTCAAAACATACAGCTCACTAACTTATATACTATAAAATTAATAGTCCTGTTTATGGACATGACATTAGTACAACCTAGGTAATCTAATAAATGTTCTTGATGCCATCTCCCTATGCATAGTCCATCCTTAGACAAATCCGGTTCCCCTTGGTTCTGTAGGACTTTTAAACTTAATGCCTAAGAAAGGTTCCATCACAGAATATCTCCAAAACACATCTGATTTGTTTAAGAAAGATTGTAAATTTTGGTTTAGTTTACTTTTGAATATACAATGATCAGTTCTAATCTCATTTTTTAAGAGAGATGTTAAAGTGGATTCTAGTATGTGACAATAAGGGGGTGATGATGGTATGGTTAATTCAGGCAAATTGACAACATTTGAAAATTTGAGGCACAATAGAAAATATAGATACAGTCGGCCTTTGTTTATCACGGTTAATCAGTTCCAGACTCTACCACGATAGATGAATGTTTACAAAGTAGGATTCTTTATTTATATACAGTTGTACCTCGCCACTTTATGCTTCAACTTTCATGGCTTCACCCTATTTGAAAAAACCACGATAGAGTGAAGCTGCAAAAGTCGAAGTGCTAAGTGGCGAGGGACGACTGTATAATAATAAATTGGTCCTACTCTCGTGGCTCAGTGTATTGAGCATTCCATGGACTAAGAGGTCCCTGTTTGATTCCCGGTGAGGGCACATGCCTAGGTTGTGGGCTCTATCTCTAGTAGGGGGCAGGAGACAGCCACTCAATGTATCTCACCTTTGATGTTTCTATCTCTCCCTCTGGGAAAAGAATCAATAAAAACATATTTTAAATAATAAATAACTCTGGCTGGTTTAGCTCAGTAGTTAAAGTGTTGGCCCTCAGATCAAAGAGTCTTGGGTTCAATTCTGGTCAAGAGCACATACCTCAGTTGCAGTTTGGTCCCAGTCCTGGTCAGGGTCTCAGGAGGCAATCAATCAATGTGTTTCTTGCATCAATGTTTCTCTATCTCTCTCTTTTTCTCCCCTTTCCTTGGACCCTCCCTTCATCCCCCCTTCCCACTCTATTGGAAGAAAATGAAAAAATATCCTGAGTTGAGGATTTAAATAAATAGGTAAATCAATAAATGAAATACATTGGAACTTATACTTCTGAATTTAAAAATTGCAACATCCATTCATTTAAAACCCTCTGTGTACCACTGTCAGATCCCTCTTACTCTTTTTATTGGAGATACTCATTCTGAATTTCATGTTTCAATTCATGTGTAAAACCATTTCTGTTGTGTCCTAGGTTACTAGTTGAAAGGGTTCTTTTTAAAAGTCTAAATTTCATGAGGTGAGGTTTACTAATGTAGACAAAAATTCTAGCAGTTTTTCTTTTCAATATGTTCTTTTCTTTATTGATTTTAGAGAGAGAGGGAGATAGAAACATTGATAAGAGAGAACATCTATTGGCCATATCTTTCATGCCCCCCACTTGGGATTTGGCCAACAACCTGGGCATGTGTGCTTACCAGGAATCAGACCCGTGACCTCTTGGTGCAAATGTCACTGCTCAGCCACTGAGCTACACCAGCCAGTCTCTTGTTGTTTTTATTTATTTGAAAATATAAAAGCACAGTGATCATGGTATTGGTGAGGATTATCCAAATAAATGTAATAAACTACATTGGTCCATGTGTTGAGAAACTGTTGCTTTGAGCTCATTCTTATTTAGCTTCTTTTCTTCAGAAATCTTGGAAACCGATCCTCAAATCAGGAAAAAGGGATTCCTCTGGCGCATTCATGAAGAATTTAGGATTAAATGTTTCTATGCTTCAAGGGTATTGATACATATGATCTTTAAATTATCATTCCTTTTGAAATGAATGAACTGCTTTGGGTTTGCTCATTTGAAAAAATGCCTAACATTTTCTGTAGTAAAGTGTTCTGGCTCAATAGAACCAACCCAGAGACCGCCAGAGCCAAATTAAAGCTAAGTTGAGAGCAAAGCTGGCCGGCGACTAATCCCACGTTCTCAGAGATCAGCCCTAACTTTCAGCTACTTTTTAATTTTATTTATTTATTTTCTTTCTTAATTAATTTATTTTTGTTATAGATATTTCCCCCTTTTCCCCCACTGATTCTCCGCTCCCCCTCCATCCACATCCTATCCTAAGCTTTGTTGTCCATGTCCATTGTTCATGCACACATGCATATAAGTTCTGTGGTTTACTTCTACCCCACCACCTCCTCTTCTGGGGACTGTCCGTCTGTACTCCACTTCCACATTTCCGGGACTACCCCATTCCTCAACCTGTTACGTTCATTATATTCCACAAATAAGTGAGATCATATGATACTTGTCTTTCTCTGTTTGGCTTGTTTCGCTTAGGATAATACTTCCCAGGTCTCTCCATGTCATCTCAAAGGATAAGAGATCTTTCTTTTTTACAGCTGCATAGTACTTCATTGTGTATATGTACCACAGCTTTTTTATTCATTCGTCTACTGATGGACATTTGGGCTATTTCCAGATCTTAGCTATTGTAAATAGTGTTGCTATGAACTTGGGGCTACATATATTCTTTCTGAGTGGTGTTTTGGTTGTTCTAGGGTATATTCCTTGAAGTAGAATCACTGGATAAAATGTTAGTTCATTTTTTAATTTTTTGAGCTAACACTGTAGTGTTTTCCATAGTGGCTGCACCAGTTTGCAGTCCCACCAACAGTATACTAGAGTCCCTTTTTTTCCACACCCTTTACCAACACTTCTTGTTTGATGAATTGTTGATGGCGGCCATCTGACAGGTATTAGGTGATATCTCATTGTTGCTTTAATTTGCATATCTCTGATGATTAGTGATGTTGAGCATTTCTTCATGTGTCTCTTGTTCATTTGTATGTCCTGTTTGGAGAGGTGTCTGTTTAGTTCCTCTGCCCATTTTTTAATTGGGCTCTTTTTCTTCTTTTTGTTGAGTTGTATGAGCACTCTATATATATCATGGAAATTAACCCCTTATCTGATATATCATTAGCAATTATGTTCTCCCATACAGTGGGTAGCCTTTCCATTTTGATGATTGTATCTTCTGCTGTGCAGAAGCTTTTGAGTTTCTGTAGTCCCATGTGTTTATTTTCCCCTTTGCTTCTGTTGCTTTAGGTGATGTATCAGTGAAAATTCTGCTGTGTATGATGTCTGAAATTTTGTGGCCTACAGTTTCTTCTAGGAATTTTATGGATTCATGAGTCACATTTAAGTCTTTTATCCATTTTGAAATTATTTTTTTGTATGGTGTAAGTTGATAGTCTAGTTTCATTTTTTTGCAAGTAG